CCCGCTACTTTTCTAAATTTTTAGAGACTAGCTCTATCCATTGAATCTTTAGGCATCTATTTCAGAAAGATCACGATGATCATGACCATCCTATTATTCGCCAATTGCCTCGAGCAGGCCCCAGTAATGTCTCCTTCGACCTAGCCCTGAGATTTTTTAAAAGGTGCCACATTCAAGGCTCTTTTAGGGTTAGGAGAATGAGATCCATGATTGTTACTGGTATTTGGCATATTGGGTATGCCACAGGGAGTTTGCCAAACTCTGCCCTGTGGGCAGGTTACATTCGGTAACCTGCCAGTTTGTCCAAAGTAGGAATGAGATAATAAGATGTCACGCAGCCATATTGGCGGCCGGCGCTTCCAGGAGCTGTGTTTTATAGTCTCTAAGTCTTTGCCGTTGATGGGATTACACGGCACCAGGGGGGCAGTTGGTGGGTGTGACCCCTGCCTACTGGAAGATGAAGGATCTGGGTGGAGGATGCTCAGCCCCGATCCGAGCAGGCTTGGAGATCTCAGCCCCAGGACCCGCATGCCTTTGTTCCTCTGCCGGTACCTTCATGCATGTGGAGAGTGGTTTTAGCATGGTGGTGGCTGGTTCTGGAGGTCTTCAGCTGCCAGAGCCCTGGTCGGGGTGGGCAGGGAAACTCAACCCACTCCCCTCCAAGGGGCCCCGGCGAGGACAGCCAGGCGTGGGGGCAGGAGACTCTGCGCTGTTCTCTTCCGGGAACTGTGTTTTATAGTCTCTGAGTCTTGGCCGTTGATGGGATTACATGGCGCCAGAGGTCCAGTTGGTGGGTGTGATCCCTGCCTACTGGATTTTGGAGGATCTGGGTGGAGGATGCTCAGCCCCATCCGAGCAGGCTTGGAGATTATGTAATTATGTAATTATTGATCAGAAAGATCAATATTACATAAATGAATCTCTTGTTAACCAGCAGGATATACTCATCTTTCACTTGCATCTTTGAGCATGTGATCAAATTTAAATATAGTTTTATTCATATGAAAATGATACATTTAATTTTCAAGTTAAGGGTCAGACTGATTGTACAGGGGTTAAGATGCTTACCTTGTATGCAGCCTACCCGAATTCTACCTTCAAAACCAGATAGATTCCCCTGAGCAGAGTCAGGACTAAGCCCTGAACACAGCCAGGTGTGCTCCAAACTTCCAGCCTGCCCTACTGCCCCAAAGTTTTGTTTCAAGTTGAATTGGATTTACCTAAACTGGTGGTTTTGGGGATGGTTTGTTTCCTGTTTCCGTGATACTGTGATCAATCCCATCTTTGGTATAATTTATAAAGCTTTGACTTATTTGTAGTGCTGATAAGGAGTTTTTATTCCTTATTTATTTTATTCCAATGCTTTTTTCCCCTACACTGTTATATCTGCTCTACCTTTCAGCAGGAATTTTAATTTAAAGAAATTTCACAAAGGGTTGGAGTGCATGGCTTTGTAGATGAGAGCGCTGGATTTGGCCCCTGGCATGGTCATGTCTTCCAAGCAAGCACTGTACTAGGAGTAGCTACACCTAGAGGTATAGCAAATTTCTGGCTACATCTACTATGTATTTTAATGTATTGGGGGTTGTGATGATTAAAATAGAAAGACCTCTTTTTTCCAGGGCCAAAGGGTAAGATGCTTCCCTTAGGTAGCCAACCTGGATTCAGTCCCCAGCACTGCATATAGTCTACCGCGCATGGCCAGGAGTGATCACTGAGCACAGCTGGATATGACCCAACAAAACAAAACAAAACACCTTTTCCCTTATACCTTAAGTGAATTTAATTCCTTGTCTTTCTTTTCTTGGGGGGAAGGGAGAATTGGGATGCAGCAGGTGCTGGGTCCTACTCCTGGCTCTGTATTGGGGGGGAGGGCAATTCCTGGCAGTGCTTGAGGAACCATATGGCACTAGACATGGAACCCCCATGCAAGGCAAGCACCTTAATTCCTATACTGTCTCTCCAGCCCTCAACTTTCTTACAATCAGGAGGGGGCTTTGAGTTAACCAAAGGCTCCTCCCCGCTCCTTTAAGTATGAAAGCACTATATATAATTTACTCATTTATGTTTGGTTTTTGGACCACACCAATGATATTCTAGGGCTACTACTACTGACTTAGTACTTGGAGGTTACTCCCAACAGTACTCAGGGGACCACAGGGTGCCAGAAGCTAACCTGGGTTTTTACACATGCTTACATAACACACTAAGGAATACAGATGGGCTTTTAAAGTCTACAGTGTTTTCAACAGACCTCCAAAACCAGGAAGTTGGTTTTTTCACCTAGTATTACTCAAAGAGAAAACTGCCTCTGTCTCACAGAAGAAATGACTGAAGTAGACTTGGGTGTTGTTTTTCTTTTTAAAAAGAGCTTTTCAATAATATATACTTCAGGTTTTGTAAGTGTAGAGACCACTTTGCTGGAAACCATAGTACCCACTGCTGTAACTTTGCCTAATGATATATAGAATACTTGCCCTTGATTTTAAAGTATTTTCATTTAGCAAAGCAGACAGTTGCTGTGTTGGCAGAAGTGCGGATTTCATTTCCTGTCTGTGGTGTACCCAGCTCATCCTGTCACTCAGACATTTTGTTTTAGGTTGTTCCCGTAATGTGAGTGAAACAGAATGACCCACAGCAGGGTGACATGTGCATACCACAAATGTAACAAGAGAAAAAAACTTGTGCAACAGACCATAATGCTGTAAAGATGAAAACAAAACATAATAAAGGCAGTATCTCTGAACCAGCATGATTTTTTTTTCTTCTTTGTGGTACAAGGGATCAAACCCAGGACATGTGCTCTTCCACTACACCATATCCCCAGCCTCAACATACAAAACCACAACAACAAAAATTTAACTGTGAATTCTTATAATTGTTTTTATTTGTTTAAGAAGTCCTACCTCAAAACTTTATCAGTTTCATGCTACTTGATTAAAAAATCCACCCTTTAACAACATTATTTAGGGGGTTTCACTTAGCCTATTATTGATCATCAGATATTTGTATCTTATACTCCATTAATCTGCGACATATATTGAGTTCTTTGTTAGTTTTGGAGCCATACTTGGTAGTGCTTGGAGCTACTCCTGGTACAGTGCTTGCTTGGAAGACACGACCATTCCAGGGGCCAAACCCAGCGCTCTCATCTACAAAGCCATGCACTCCAACCCTTTGTGAAATTTCTTTAAATTAAAATTCCTGCTGCAAGGTAGAGCAGATATAACAGTATAGGGGGAAAAAAGCATTGGACTAATTCATACTATCAAATATCTTGTTGAACAGCTAATATGTGCTCCACACTATTTCCAGTGTTTGACAATATAGTGATAGCCAGTTGATATTAATAATTTAAGTATTCTCCATTTTCTGTGGCTGTCAATAATTGTATTTTGAATAGCCTCAATCCTAAGTAATAATTCCCCATTACTGTTGAGCTAGTTGTCTTTTCTCTGATGGGTCATGTTAACTTGGAGGGCAAACTCTTGTGGATCAAACAGACTTCCAGTGTGTTAGTACTTTTCAGTTCATGTGAGAATGGGAGTAAATCTTTTACTTACTATTATTTATTTTATTTTGTATGTGTGTATTTTAAACAGATTTTTTTCTGGACACTTTGAGTCTATCATTATTTTTGGTTTATTGGAGGGTTGAGCCACATCCTACAGTGTTCAGAGTCTTTTCTTCCTCTGTACTCAGGAGTAACCCTTGACTGTGCTTAGGGAAGCAACTGTATGTGGGGCCCAGAATTCAAACCAGAGCTGCAGCGTCCACAGCCATGGATCTGTTATTAGTAACTACAGTTTGCATTTGATTAAAACACTGCTGAAATACCATTTTTATAATCATGGATTTAATAATAATAACTAATTAATAAGGGTTTACTATATGCACATACCACCCTGATAAGCTGTATTTTTTTTTAATCATTGCTGTTTTGGATCACACCCAATGCAGTGCTCAGGGACCAGATAGTGCTATGGTTTAGTCCCTGGACTTCTGCATACAATGCATGAGTTCCAGCCCTTTGTGACATCTCCTGATCCCTAATAATCTCTTTTCTTATTAACTTCTCACTATAACCTCATTTTATTAGTCCTGTGTTATTTAGGCCCATCCCTAATTGCCCAAGTAAGACATAGCAGAGCCAGGACCTGGGAGATGACTCAGAGGGCTGGAGCACAAACTTTGCATGTGGGAGACCTGGGTTTGAACTGTGTGGTCAAACTGTATAGTTCCCCTGAGCATCAAGTTGGGTGTAACCCTCCAGCCTCAGCAGTGCCCAGTGAAATTAACCAACCCCATCCCCCCCCCCACACACACACAATCCAAAAAACAAAGTAAATAAGAAATAAAATGATTTTTTTTTAAAAAAGGAGTTAGATTCCAATCCAGGCAATCAGGTTCCAGAGCCCTAACTCTTCTCTACCTGCTGATGCCACATAATGTTTATACATTTAAAGTTTTGTTTCAGAAAAACTGTGTGGAGTATATAATACAATGAAAAATCAGAATTACTTATTTTTTCCTTTGGTTTTGAGCCATACCTTAGGTCTTAGGGCCTACTCCTGGCTCTGTGCTTGAGGATTGTTCTTGATGGTTCTAGGATACTATGCAGTGCTAGGGATCAAACCGAGTCCTCCCGCATGCAAAGTTTGTGCTCCAGTCCTTTAAGCCATTTCCCTGGCCCTGGCTCTAATACTGCTTACTAAAGTGCATAAGGAAGGGGTACAGAACTAATAAAATGAGATTGCTATGAGAAGTTAATTAGAATATAGATTATTAGAGGACAGAAGATGGCTCAAAGGACTGGAGCTCGTGCTTTATATACAGGAGCCTGGGTGTTGGAGCTTGGCCTCAGAATCACTTTCAATTTTACTTTATCCCATGAAGTTGGGTCTTTAGAATAGGGAGGAGAGTTTGGGCAAGGTAGTTCTTGAGTTCTTTCTCTGTTTCCTTCCTCAAATAACATTATTTCTTTTGCTTTTTCTTTGTAGCATCAGCGAGAGCTTTCTAACTGTCAAAGGTGCTGCCCTTTTTCTGCCACGGGGAAATGGCTCATCCACTCCAAGAATCAGCCATAGACGCAACAAGCATGCAGGTAAAGCTCTACATATACCATTCCTTTCAAACCATTTGTTTTATTCTGAAAAGCCCCCTGCTTCATCTTGTTTGTCCACCTGTTCTTAATAGTGCAAAAAAGCATTATATTCTGCTTTTTTTTTTTGGTTTTCTTTCACTGTCACAGATCATTCTGGGATAACCAGCTTTATGCTTCTCTTCTAATGGCAAACTTTGTTTATGTCCTTTTGGGAGGAAAAAAATAAGATTCAACTTGAGGGGTATAATTGTAGAAATCCTGATCAATGCCACATGGAAAGTGGTAGTTGTCACAGACTTACTGTTTGATAATATGTTGTTACCTACAGGAGTAGCAGAAATTAGAGTTATTTGAAAACAGCAAAGACAGTCATAAACTTTGAATATGTAGGTCAGGGGTGAAAGCCAGAAATGCACATCCCTTTGAATAAAAAGTTCTAGCTTTAGTCTAGAGAGTCTTAGCAGTTTTAATGGCTATCCTTTTTTGTGCCACAGCTTAAACCCCAAGGCTCATAACACCCATACATGCACCCTACCACAGTCTAGCTCTGACTTTTTGTTTGTTTTTTGTTTTGGGTCACACCCAGCTGTGGTAGTGGCTTACTCCTGGCTCTGTGCTCAGGGATCACTCCTAGTATGGCTCAGGGAACCATACACGATGCCGGGGATTGAACTGAGGTCAGTTGTGTGCCCTCATCAGTGTACTGTTGCTCAGCTCCACAGTTCTGAGTCTCGTGAGGGCCTTCGACTAGTTACAAATTTAGCAGTTCATAATTATAATTCATTTCATTGAGCAAAAATACCAAACTCATGAGCATTTTTAGTTATTTACTTGGGAGGGAGCACATCATTGGTACATTGGGGGCTACTCCTCACTCTGTGCTCAAGTACAGCCAGAAGTGCTCTGGTGACTGCAGTACTGGGATTTAAATCAGGGTCAGCCGCAGGCAAGGCAAATGCCTTAACTCAAGTATTATCTCATAGCACCACCACACCCTCACACACACCCCTCCCCCCCATGAAAATTTTTAAAAAGCAAAGGGAAGAGACACTTGAAAATTAACTTGATTCTACATTCTAAAATTTCCTCTTCAAGACTCCCTAAAAGGGGGGTGAGGAGGGAAAACGCTTCTCCGAAAACAGTAAGCAGACCCAGTTCAACTTTGTATTTCTGGTGTGGGATTAGTCACTTAGAATAAAAAGAAAATATTGGTTTAAATCCAGCTTCTTTGACTAAGATGCTAGGCAAATTGTTCTGTGGCATGTGACAGTAAGAGAGGTCACTGGGGCGGGGGTGGGGGTGCGATGGTGTTGGGTTGGTTTGGTTTTGGGCCACAGTTGGTGATTACTTTTTCAGTGGCAAGAAATAGTAAGAGAGGTCAGTGGGTTTTTTTCTTTTGGTTTTGTTTTGATTTCTTTTTTGAGCCACACCCAGGAGTGTGAGGTTACTCCCGGCTCTGCACTCAGGAGTCACTCCTGATGGTACTCAGGGGACCATATGGGATGCTGGGGGTTGAATCTGGGTCCAGCGTGTGCAGAGCAAGCAGTTTACCCACTACACTATCTCTCTGGCTCCTAGAGGTCAGTGACTTTTAAATGGCTTGTCCTTGTTGAACTTTAGTCTTGTGTGTGTGTCTGTGTCTGTGTGTCTGTGTGTTTATACTTGTTTTGGGCTCATATCCAGCAGTGCTCAGGGATCACACCTGATGGACTCAAGGGACACTGTGGGGTGCCAGAGAACAAACCTGGATGGCTACATGCAAGTTCCACCTGCTGTAGTATCTTTCAGGACTCTGACCTTTTTAAGTTACATTCTCACACTTACCTGCCGCCAGGTTTTTTGATTTTGTTCATTTAGCTCTTCCCATGCTAAAAGAAAAACAGATTTTAACACAAATTGAATGGGCTTGATTTGTGACCCAGACTAGACAGATGAAGTAGTGTGTTAGTATAGATGCAGCACACAGAGCCACACACACAGCTCACAAAGCTTCACTTAAGCTGGAGCTGCCTTGGCTGAGCTCACAGTAACTGAAAGATGATGGCAGAATTGAGAGCTTGCCAAGTCTCGTTGTACTTTCTTATACGTGATCTCTCTCCCCGCCCCCCCTCCCTTCCTCCTCTCTTCCCCTCTCTTTCTCTGTCCCTCTCTCTCCCTCCCCCTCTCCTTCCCTTCCTCTTCTCTCCCTCTCCCTCCTCCTCTCCTTCCCTCACTCCTCTCTGCCTCTCCCATCTTCCCTCTCTCCCTCTCCTTATCCCTTAACCTCTCACTCTTTATTTTGTTTTGTTTTCTTTTGTTTTGTTTTCTTTTGTTTTATTTCAGGATCACACCCAGCAGTGCTCAGGGCTTACTCCTGACTGCACTCAAGGATCACTCCTAGTGGTGCTCCAGGGATTGTATATGTGGTGCCCCGGATCAAATCCAGGTCATCAGCTGCATGCAAGGAAAGCGTCCTACCTACTGTGCTGTCTCTCTGGCTCCTTATACATATTTTTTAACTAGTTTATCAGAGCAGCATTTAAAATATCCAGATACATGAGATCATTCATGGCATTTCTTGGGGGACCATATGTGGTGTGGAGTGTGAAACCTAGGTTGGCTGCATGTAAGGCAAGCACCTTACCCCCTTGTGCTAGCTTTCTGCCCTCTAGAGTATTTTTTAGTGAAATTGTATATATTCTTTGTGTAAATTATCATGTCATTTGCAAATAGGGATAGTTTTACTTCTCTTCCAGTTCCACAGGAATTTAGTTGGATTTCCTTTCTTTTCTCTTCTTTCTGCCATACCCAGCTGTGCTCAGGGTTTTCTCCTGGTCCTGCACTCAGGGATCGCTCCCGACAGACTCAGGGGTGCAGTGTATCAAACCTGGTCTGCTGCATGTAAGGCAAATGCCCTACTCGATTTACTTTTTTTCTAGTACCTCACATCTTTTTCTGTTTGGTTTTGGAAATTGAACCCAGTGCTTCACACATACAAGGAAAATGCTGTTATTGAGTTAAATCCCCAGAGCTTCATCATTTCCTTGCCTAAGTGCTCTGGCTAAGACCTCCAAAACTACGTTGAACAGTACAGAAGAGAATGGTCACCAGTGACCTAAGCAGAAAGCCAAATATAGTACCCAAGCACTGCCTGTATCTGATGTTGTAAGCAATGAATAAAATAAAATAAGCAAAATTAAATAGACATATACATGTATATATACATATATGTGTATATATAGCACTTATGTATGTATGTTTATATTCCTTAGCATTCAGTGTTCTCATTTGTGTCTTTGGTTGGTTGCTTGCTTTGGGACCACACCATGCAAAATTCAGTGACTACTCCCAGCTCTGTGCTCCAGGCCTCCTACATGCAAAGCGTGTCCTCTGCCCATTGAGCTCTCTCTCCAGCCCTGTTCTCATTTTAATATCAGTCACTAATATGGAAATCAAAGCTGTTGACATTCTAGGGGTAATGTAAAAATCTTCTTGGGGAAAGTGCAACACAGGTTTACAATTGCAAACATAGGAATGGCAAAACGGTTGGTCTTTTTAAAACTACTAGTTAATCCTAACACTGTATACCACACACCCTATTTTCAAGATTCTACCTGCATTTGCTACCTTTAATTGTGACCTTCAATTGGCACCTTCAGTGGACCTGAAAACATAGCCAATGCCACCTCTGCCCATCATACCTTACTATTGCTGTCATCAACATCCTCCATAGTATAGAACTGAATTGGTTTTGTAAACATAAACATAAAATTGATGCACCTCCATAGGACAAATGCAAAACAAATATAGTATAGATTAAAAGTGAATATAGGAGCTGGAGAGATAGCTGGAGAGGGTAGGGCATTTGCTTTGCACGCGGCCGACCTGGGTTCGATTCCCAGCATCTCTTATGGTGCCCTGAGCACCGCCAGGAGTCACTCCTGAGTGCAGAGCCAGGAGTAACCCTGTGCATCGCCAGTTGTGACCCAAAAAAGCAAAAAATAAAAATAAAAAAAGTGAATGTATGGGGGGGCTGGAGCGATAGCACAGCGGTAGGGCGTTTGCCTTGCACACAGCCAACATGGCCAACCCGAGTTCGATTCCTCCGCCCCTCTCGGAGAGCCCGGCAAGCTACCGAGAGTATTCGATATGCCAAACACAGTAACAACAAAGTCTCCAATGGAGACGTTACTGGGCCCGCTCGAGCAAATCGATGAACAACGGGAGGACCGTGACCGTGAATGTATGGGAATGAAGTCTGTTGCTCTGTCTTTTCATTTACCAAAAATTCAAGGGTCCAGGTAATCATACAGCAGTTAGGGCACATGCCTAGCAAAACCTCAATGCTTAGAGACCCCTGAACATCATCAGGTATGGTCCCGAAGTACCTCAACACTGCATGGGTGGCCTGTGTAACTCCAGTGCTGCAGGACTCAAGTAGCATTGCCTCTTCATGCCCTTGCATTGAATTGACTGCCCAGTAGACTGAGAATTGCCAGTGAGTCCACAGATCTCCTGATCATCCTTTGGAAGAGCCCACCCCCGAAAAAAATGTAATAATAATTAATAGATAATAATACCAACTCATTCACTTAATTTCTGTGTGTACTTAAAGAGGAACCAGAGAGGGAGTACAGCAGGAAGGGCACTGACCCATATTTGACCCCCAACACCACATATCATCCCCTGAGACCTGCCAGAAATAAGACTTGAGTAAGCCAGGCGTAGCAAAAAACTTTTTAAAAAAAAGTTCTTCAGTGAACTAGAACTTTCTTTTATATGTATCATTAAACAGAAGCGATAGCACAGCGGGTAGGGCGTCTGCCTTGCACGCAGCCAACATGGCCGACCCGAGTTCGATTCCTCCGCCCCTCTCGGAGAGCCTGGCAAGCTGCCGAGAGTATTCAATATGCCAGACACAGTAACAAAGTCTCCAATGGAGATGTTACTGGGCCCGCTCGAGCAAATCGATGATCAACGGGAGGGCCTTTACTTACTTTTTACTTTACATTAAACAGAAAAAAAGAAAAAAGAAAACCTTGTGTTGATATTGCAATTGAGAATAATTATCTTTTACTTTGTAAATTTCACCAGGTGATCTCCAACAGCATCTCCAAGCAATGTTCATATTACTTCGCCCAGAAGACAACATCAGATTGGTAAGTTAGTGGAATGATTACAAATCTTTTGTTTGTTTGGGTTTTTAATTTTTGGACCACACCTAGAGATTCTCGGGGGCTACTAAGCTTGGGGGAGACTGAGGTACCAGGAATCAAAACTGAGACTCCTGCATGTAAAGCATGTGGTTCAGCCTGGAGCATCACTTTTTCTCAGAAGACTATCTAACGTAATTCACTCTAAGCGATGTTTTTTTTTTTATGCCCTAATGTAATACTGAAACAATTGGAATAGAAAAAAATGACATGTCCCTATTATCAAAGAACTCAGATAGTAATTGGTGATAACTAACGTGAAATGATTTGACAGTTCAACATTGTTGATAAGCAGCAGTGAATATTATTAACTGTGACCATACATGGAGCTCAGAAAAAAGAAAAAGGCTTCGGGACTTGACATAGTTGAGGAAGGTTTTAGTTAACAGTAGAATTTGAGCTGAATCTTGAAAGATGTTGTGACTTAGATTGGCAGGAAGAAGTCAGCCATTTTGGATCACTTTAGGACAAAAAAAGATATACATAAGCCATGTATATATACTGGTCTCAGAGTCAGGAGACTCAGTCATAGGTTTTTATTAACCATGTCATGTTAAACAAGATGCTTACCTGTATCTAACCATTTCCTCGTCACATTTCAAATGCTTATAGTTGAAAGGATCTGATGGACATGAAAAAGCAGATTCTGGGCTGGAGTATTAGTACAGTGGGTGGGGTATTTGCCTTGGCTGTGACTGAGCCATGTTCATTCCCGAGCACCCCATTCAGTCCCCTGAGCCCTGACATAAGTTACCCTCAGTGTAGAGTCAGGAGTGAACCCTGAGTACCACCAGGTGTAGCACAAAAAGCAATAACAACAAAAAATCTAGACTTGGGGCTTGTCTTTTAAAAGAAAAATTCTAAAGACCAGAGAAACAGTTTTGAAAGGCACCTGCTTTGCATACAGGAGGCTCATTTGATTCCCAGCATTACATAGTCCTCCAAGAACCATCAGAAATGACCCCTAATGGGCTGGAGCAATAGCACAGTGGGTAGGGCATTTGCCTTGCACGTGGCCAACCCAGGTTCTATTCCCAGCATCCCATATGGCCCCCTGAGCACTGCCAGGGGTAATTCCTGAGTACAGAGCCAGGAGTAACCCCTGTGCATCGCCGGATGTGACCCAAAAAGCAAAAAACAAAACAAAACAGAAATGACCCCTAAAGCACTAAGTCAGGAATGGCCCTTTAGCACTGCCAGATGGAGCTCCAAAACCAAAAGTAATTATAATAATAAAATACAAATTTTAAATACTCAGAATCTTTCTTACAAGGCAAAGCTTCACTAGATTTGGGAAGAGGAGAGACTTCAGTATTGCCTGGGTTTTCAACTTGCCATAATCTCCACATGTCCTAATGTCTCCTGGACACTAAAGCCACGTTTCATCATTTATCATCACTCTTTCATTATCGATTATCTTGTAGTAGAACTTCAGTTCCTATCAATTTAAAATAGGCCTACATCTCTTATTTACATTTGTCTGACGTACTGAAATGCCCAGAAGGAATACCTCTGCCTCTTCTGAGAGTAGTAATGAAACATCTCAAAGGACCAAAGGCTCCTCAGAAAGTAATAGAACGGAGGAGAGAAGGCAGCCATCTTTAATCAGAACGGCCTGCTGGGAGTTAGGTCTGTGGTGGTATTAGCCCTTCTACATTAGAGAGGTCATTCCAATTTGGGTTTCAAGACACAGATTACCTGGAAAGGTTTTTATTGTTGGTTTTTCTTAGGGGGATTTGGGCCAAACCCACTAGTGCTGAGGGGTCTATTCCTGCTTCTATGCTCAAGGGGACCATATATGGTGTTGGGATTCGAACCTGAATCAGCAGGGTACAAGGCAAGCACCTAATCCTCATACTATCTCTGCAGTCCCCTCTCCCCATTTTTACATGGTCATAAGTAATGTTTTTTGGTTTTGTTTTGGAGCCACACCCAGTGGTGCTCAGGGAACCATATGTAGTGCTGGGGATTCAAACTGAAGTCTGAATACACGGCAAGATCGTAAGCCCTATTATAGCTCTCCAGCCCCTTATAATTATTTGTTTTGTTTTGTTTTGTTTTTTGAGCCACACCCTGCGGCACAGAGGAGTCACTCCTGGCAGTGCACAGGGGACCATATGGGATGGCAGGGGTCAAGCTCAGGTCGCCACATGGAAGGCAAGCTCCCTACCCACGGTACTATCACTCCAGCTCCTGTTTTGTTTGGGGGACACATGGTGCTCATGGGCTCATGGCTTATTCCTGACCATGCTTAGGGGACCATAAACAGTGCCAGGTATTTAAACTGAGGTCTGTCACCTACAAGACGAGACCCTGTACTATTTCTTCAGCCCTTCATAATTATTTTATACCCTAATCCAGAAGTGTGTTAGACTTAATGTAAAATTTATCTGTGTTCATTATTTAATAGGTAAAGGCCCTCCCGTTGATCGTCGATTTGCTCGAGCGGGCCCAGTAACGTCTCCATTGGAGACTTTGTTGTTACTGTGTCTGGCATATCGAATACTCTCGGTAGCTTGCCGGGCTCTCCGAGAGGGGCGGAGGAATCGAACTCGGGTCGGCCATGTTGGCCGCTTGTAAGGCGGACGCCCTACCCGCTGTGCTATCGCTCAGGGCTGGAGCGATAGGGCTGGAGCGATAGTACAGCGGTAGGGCGTCCGCCTTACAAGCGGCCAACATGGCCGACCCGAGTTCGATTCCTCCGCCCCTCTCGGAGAGCCCGGCAAGCTACCGAGAGTATTCGATATGCCAGACACAGTAACAACAAAGTCTCCAATGGAGACGTTACTGGGCCCGCTCGAGCAAATCGACGATCAACAGGAGGGCCTTTACCTTTACCTCTTTACCATTATTTAATAGCAATAGTGCTTGTTTTTGTTTGTTTTTTTTTGGGGGGGGCCTACATTGCAAGGCCCCCCCACCAAAACTCAGGACCTCACACACACCTACCACTGAGCTCTTTGACCTCTGTTCATATTTGTTGATTTCCTTCTATCTGAAACACTTTATAAATTGACAAATGGGAGCATAGTTTTTTATTGCTGTGTATTATTTTGATTCTCTCTCTACCTCCCTCCCCTTTCCCCTCCCCCTCTCTCCAACCCCCTCAAGCCCACAATGCTGGGAGACTGTACTATGCCAGGGATGGAACGATGGAACCCAGGGTTCCACATGCCAAAGCCATTTGAGCCATCTCCCTGTCCACATAATTTGCATTTTTTGTGATTTTCTAAGTGAAGCTGATACTTTTGTTCCAATATTATATATTTCAAACCATTCCTCTAAAATTGATAAAATGGTCAGTTGCAGATAATAGATGTCCAATAGTTATTTGTTGATAGTTTCTATAAATTGCATGCTTTGGTAGAGCTAAAACTGAGATCAGTCATCAGTTCTTTTATCCTTTTTACATTGATAATGTGCTGCAGTTTGGATTGCACATTTTAAATGTTAAAATGAGTTGGTAGGAGTTGGGCCTTTGGTGGTACTTGGGAGCTACTTAGGGATTTATGCTCTGGGGTGCCGCCAGCAGATAAAACAAAGGTTTTAACCTCTACTATCTCTCCAGCCCCAAATGTAAAAAATTCATTTTAACCACAGAAGACTAGTGAGAAGCTTTATTTATTTATTTATTTATTTAAATTTTTAGTGAGAAGCTTTAAAGAATAGTTTAGGAAGGCAGAATTGACAATTAGTTTGTTTTCTTTCCCTTGTAAAAGAGAATCTAGGATGCTTTGCAGTTTCAGCTGTTTTGCATTTGTAAAATACAAAGTCAGAAAATATAACTGTTGCTTCTGAATTAATTCAGAATTCAAATGACAAGCCATTTTACAGTTGTTTTGAATTGTTACAAACACATAGTCATTATGTTTCAGATTATTGAGTGAGTCATCTTGAAGAAAATAAGTGAATACATTGTATGACTTCGGACAAATTAGCACTTTTCTAACTGAAAAGAGCATTTGTAGATGCAAAGCAGAGCCTTTTGTTTTGAGTTAAATTTGGAATGCTAAGACTCTCATCCTGGGTCTTGTACATAAGGTTAAAAGTTTGATAGTCCACTGAAAGTCCTGTCTTTATAGTTTTAACAACCCAACGAGAGAGGCACCAAACCCTGCCTTTTGCTTTGAAAATAAGTCTAAATCAGTTTTTCCTCCACTCAAACTCTGCATTCCCAAAACAGTCACATTAATACTACTTAGAAAAACAGTAGCAAATAAAATGAAGAAAGTAGTTTTATAATACTCTAGTATAAAAATAGATATGTTTTTAAAAATAGACTAGGAAAGTAGGAACTTTCCTGATATTTAAAGTTTATGCTTTGTTGGGGGAGGGGGGTCTCCAAGACCCAATGATCAACCTGCAGGAGGCCATTTGGTACCAGGTATCAGAACATGTCCACCTGAACTGTGTCATACCCTGCCAATTCACTGGAGTTCTTGTTTTTTGGTTTTTGTTTTTTTCTCTCTCTCTCATTTTTTGGAGGGTATGTGGATTTGGTCCACACCCATCAGTGCTCTATGTTCAGTCTCCTGGCAGTACTCAGAGTACCATATGTTCAGGGGTCTGGCATATTAATCCCTGTGCAGCTATGCTCAGCGCTTACTCCTATCTCTGTGCTCAGGAATTATTTCTGGTAGTGATCAGAGGACCATGCCAGGGATCAAACCCAGGTCGACCATATGCAAGACAAATTTCCTACCTGCTGTTTTCTCTCTGCACACACACTGCACTGCACTGCGGAGGAATCAAACTCGGGTCGGCCATGTTGGCTTCGTGCAAGGCAAATGCCCTACCGCTGTGCTATCGCTCCAGCCCCTGCACACACACACTCCGCCTTAATGTTCTTAAACAGAGTTAAAGTGTTAATAAGGAGCAGGAGATATTTTTTAGTATTTCGCAGCTTTTTTTTAAATAGGTCTTTGTTATTGTTTTGTAGTACATTT